AGGAGCAGCTTGCTTGAAAAAGGTGACAGTCTGTCTCGATCTAGCTTCCAAACAGTAACTTGGACAACAAAGTGATCAACTATGTTGTCAGTTATAACATCGTCACACTATCACAAAATAAATGTTTGCTTTACGAGTGACGCTGAAACTGCTCATTTTGTTTAGACATTCTCAATTCAGTGCACTGAATAATCTCGTTGATAAAACAACACTAAAACAATAGATGAAACAATCCACATGTTTCATCATTTTTCAGTAACTTTCGTGAAGTCGAAAGTCCGCGTTCACTGTTGAATGCACGCGTGTTCCCGCGGCAGGGGAACACTTTCTATCAGGGATAACTACCTTGGCAAGACACCAGACAGTGGCGGTGTAACGTCCTAAAGGATCCGATTAGTTGAGACATATTTGTTCCGCCTTTCGCATCAGCACCATATCGTCGCAAGGAAGATATATTACTATGATTTGTAGATTTTTCATTCAGAGGGCCATAGGGGGTCCAAGATCTGTTTTACAGGGGCACTGGCCCCTGTTGGGTCCCCGCCAAAACCGCCACAGCTCCTCTGGGGTGTTTCAGTTTGGAGTCAGGCTGTCTGCTTGAGGGGTGAAAACTGCCCCGTTCTTAGGGAAAGACAAAGGGGAGATGCTGTGTTCTTTCATTTGGGATAGAAAAAATTAAGTGTTCACTGGTTGGCTCACTACACAATGATACGTTCCATAACCTGTCATCTTTGACGCGCCTGCTCTCTTGCGATAGACATTTGATTTACATTGAGCATCTAACTTATATTTCCTTTGCTGATCCTTAAAAAGCAGGCGTCTGCACATTCTCTATGAGGGCCACTTCTCTCATGTTCCATTACTCTTTGATGCACATGTCTCCAGTCACGCATTCCCACTGTAAATGGGTTGACTTGTTTAGTAAAAGCCAAGCACACAGACCAGTACAGTGTGTGTGATCTGCAGTGACGCTTAACGACAAGTGTGAGTTTTCCAAGAACAGGATCAGGTTCCTGGGGCAGGTCATTGAGGCATCAGGAGTCAGCGCTGACAGAGATAAAGTGAACGCTGTAAAAGCCATGCCAGCACTCAGTAACGTCAGCGAGGTGAGACGCTTTCTGGGGATGACAAACTATCTGCGGAAGTTCCTGCCTCACTTGCTGAGAGAACATGACCTCTCTATGACCCTAATGCTGAAACACTTGTCTCCGCTGACTCATCCTCATATGGGATGGGCGCCGTTCTTCTCCAGCAGCAAGCAGATACAGAGTGGAAACCTGTGGCGTGTGCTTCGAGAGCCCTCAGCAGCACCGAGCAGCGATACGCCCAGATTGAGAAGGAGGTTCTAGCATCAACACGGGCCTGTGAGAGGTTTGCAGAGTTCCTCATTGGGAAGAGTTTTCACATTGAAACCGACCACAAGCCCCTGATTCCTCTACTAGGCTCAAAGAGCTTAGATGAATTTCCTCCACGCATACAGCGTCTACGCATGCGTCTAATGAGGTTTGCCTACACCATATCACATGTGGCTGGCAAAGACATTGCAGCTGCAGATGTGCTGTCCTGAGCTCCTGTCAGCCACACTGCAGAAGGATTGCAGGAGGAGGAAATCAATCTCTATGTTGACTCTGTCATAGCGAGTCTCCCAGCTACAGAAAAGAGGTTAAGAGAAATTCAGAGACACCAGGACGACGACGCCACACTCCAGCAGTTGAAGAAATTCTGTGTCGAAGGATGGCCAGACAAGTTCTCCATTGAAGAGTGTTCCAGCCCAATCTGCCATTTTCAGGTGAGCTCACAGTCCAAAACGGTCTACTACTGTGTGGCAGCAGGATTGTCATCCCAGCATCATTTAGGGCAGACATCCTGTCCAAGCTGCACGAGGGCCACCTGGGAATAACAAAATGCAGAGAGCGAGCTAAACATTCAGTGTGGTGGCCGGGCCTCAGCAGAGTGCTGACACAAATGATAGAGAAATGTGATGTGTGTAGCCGTGAGAGAATAAATCGATGAGACCTAAAACGATGATGCCTACTGAGTTCCTGCCAAGAACATGGTCTACTGTAGGAGCAGATTTGTTCCAGGTAGAAAACAAACAATACCTGGTCATTGTGGACTATTTCTCAAGATATTTTGAAGTGGCCAAACTGACATCCACAACATCTGGAGCTGGGATCGATCACTTCAAGTCTATCTTTGCTCATCATGGTATACCTGAAGTGGTCCGCTCAGACAACAGCCCAAAGTTTGCATCTGAGAACTTCAGAAAGTTCACACAGGATTGGGGCTTTAGTCATGTGACCTCCAGTCCCCATTTTCCCCAGAGCAACGGGGAGGCTGAGCGTGCTGTGAGGACAATCAAAAGTCTCCTCAAGAAATCCAGCGACGCTTATCTCGCCCTGATGGCCTATCGAGCTGCTCCCCTGGCAAATGGATACAGTCCCACTGAGCTTCTGATGGGAAGGAAAATAAGATCACCAGTCATTCCATCCAAGCTCAACCCAGGGTGCGCAGACATGGACAACTTGAAAAGGACAGAACAAAAGTACAGACAAAAACTCCGACAGATCTATGACCGAAGACACAGACATGTCATACCTTCACCCCGGTGATCATGTGTGGGTCAAAGATACAGTGGAAAGAGGCACTGTGGTGTCTACTGCCGGCACGCCAAGGTCCTACATCATTGAGACGCCCGGGGGCGCTCTGCGAAGAAACAGATACTATCTTTCGCCAACCCCTGTGGCTCCTGAAAAACCTTCCAACTCAATTGAGCCAGCACTTGAGAGCACTGTTCCTGACGCCGCACACACTCCTGTCACACCAGGAGCCCAGTGTGAAGCCAGTCAGCAGACTCCAGCGTGTGAGGGACGTTTCCCAAACAGAATAAGGAATCCTCCATCTTACCTGATGGAGGGGGGGTAAATAAAGCCGTGGGATCAACCGACATGCTGTCGTGGTCTTTCAGTAGAGCTTCGTATTAAGGTTACGGGGAACCTATAAATCACGTAACACTAATGTCTTTCACCAGGGTTCTGTTTACAGTTTGCTTACCTGTTGGAAATATGAAAATACAGTTTTATTCAGGAGCGCGCTCTGTAGCGTGCGTTCTTGGACTTACTCATCACATACTGACGTCTCATTCTACTTTTCTGGCGTTACCTACTGATGTCTTAGTATAATGCATAGAGCGCCCTCTGCTGACCATTCTGTGCTTAGCAAGGAAGGAATTATCACGTCAGTGACAGAACAGTATAATTCATGTAAGTGACAAAGTAATTACGTTATGTTTAGAGACCTTAAGCTTTCACTGAATTCAAAAATTGGGGGGGGGTTCACTTTATCTGTCTTTTCAAACACCCAGTGCCGCATTCACACTGCAATTTCTCCAGACATCGCATTGAAAGTAGGGCTACACGATAGTTCTAATGGTAGTTGCGATGTTACTCGATTACCCTTGTGATTATATGACCGCAGAGTGTGCGATTAAACAAAAGTGCGCTGTGTGTGTGACACTTCGTCTCTGTGTGCACTGCAGTTTGTATCCTCGCCCACACCGGGTTCTAAAGTGGGACCATTTCACTCCTATATGACCCTACAAATAGATCGGGAACCATAAAAATTATTCATGAGCACAGTGTGCAAGTAAAAACTACAATCTATCATAATCACCCCGCACCATGTCGCTAACTTGTAGCTAATCGTTCCAAACAAAGTCGGACTGGCCACCAGGAGCACCAGTGGAAACTGTGAGACAGAAGAAAATCAGGAGAAGATAAGCAGCATTTGGGTTTAGCTGGCTATTTAGCTATATCAGTGCCTTTTGTTGAAACATGTTCAACTTTTCATAAAGCTGATGTGCTCAGTGTCACTTTTGGTCAATCGACCAATCACAGCCTGGATGGGGCGGGACATAAAAGTTATAGACGAATGTAAAGCATTTTTCTTGCACAAAGATTTAATGAATGAAAACAACCTACAAACATGAAACTGTTGTAACTGGAATTAATATACTAGAGGTAAGCTATGAAGTATACCATTAAAGGAAATTATAATCAATATAGTAACATTATATAATGAATATATTATACTAACAACAGGTTACTATTAAATTAACATTATACTTTTTATTTAATGTTATATTATACTAATTCAGTAATTTATAGTTATTCATCCAGGTTGTGGAAGGTGCATCTGCAGTGGACAGATGTAGATTTAGCCAGAATCAGGATGCCATTGTGCTAATATGTGTTGGCTTCTAGCCAAACATGCTCACCTTGTTCTGTTTACTAAAGTTATTATTGTAAATATTGTTCAGTAACTTTGTTTACATAAAGTGTGCCGTGGGTTGTGTGGGTGGTGCTCGTGTATCGTGTATCTGTCCCTGGAAAGATCACAATTACAAATATGTTTACGAGTGTTAGGCCCAGTGTTACACAGTTATATTACAGTACAAATATCAGTCATCTGCAGAAAAATACATACAATTTAATGTTGTTTTCTAAAATAGCAATTTTGACAATAAAATTATACATGTCAAAACATCAAGACAATATAAAGTACATAGATTTCTTAGCTTGTGCTAACCAGGAATTTATTATCAATAAGTATATAGACCCAACTCTGCTAATAGAAAGTTAATCAGGGACACAATTCTAGTTTACAGCACATTTCAACATTTTTGTGTTTACTCATAAAAATGTATGAAGGACATTCTTCTGAAAAAAAAAAGTCACCCCCAAAGTTTCAGATGCTTCCACACACATAAGGCAAGACAAGTTTATTTGTAAGTACATTTCAACAATTCAAAGGGCTTTACATAAAACATAAAAGCAACAAAGGGAAACTGAAAAAAAAAACACATTAAAATATAATTTTTTAAAGGGTAAAATAGAAAATAAAAACAGCGTACGAACACATAACTATTACTCATTTCAATACAACATGTAGCACAAAAGAAATCTGTCCTCATGTTTGTTCATTTATTTTTTCTCCTCCAGATGCTCCAAAGCTTCCCTCTGTGTCAGTGAGTCCCTCTGCTGAGATAGTTGAGGGCAGTTCAGTGACTCTGACCTGCAGCAGTGATGCTAACCCAGCAGCTACTTATACCTGGTACAAGAGGAATGGAAATCCAAACCTTCATCCTCTCAGTAAAGAACAAAAGCTTGTCTTCAGGTCCATTCAGTCCTCTGACTCTGGAGAGTATTACTGTGTCGCTGAGAATAAGCTGAAGAGGAAGACATCTAAATCAGTCTTCATTGATGTGAAATGTGAGTAAAACACAACTAATGACAACTTTTTAAAGCTTAATTATCCAGTCAAATATTTGGGATTCCAAAATCTGCATGGAAGTTCAGGGGATTCAAACCTTCAGTAATGCAGAAAACCACCTCCTAAAGTTTCAGATGCTCCCACACATGTTGGCTAGTAACTTTGGAAAACCACTAGCTACAGTGGCTGGTGAGGGAGTAAGTTAATGTGTAGTATTTTGTTTTGCTTAATACAATAAGCTAGAAACAAAATTGCTGCCTGGATTTTGTTAGGTGGCAACATTTTTTGGGTTGTAGGAAGGGCCAACTTTTTTAACCCCCACACAGTTAAATTACAGTACAAATATCAGCCATCTGCAGAAAATGAAAACAATTTAATGTTGTTTTCTGAAATAGTTATTTTGACAATAAAATTATACATGTCAAAACATCAAGGAAATATAAAGTACATAGATTTCTTAGCTTGTGCTAACCAGGAATATAATATCAATAAGTATATAGACCCAACTCTGCTAATAGAAAGTTAATCAGGGACACAATTCCAGTTTACAGCACATTTCAACATTTTTGTGTTTACTCATAAAAATGTATGAAGGACATTCTTCTGAAAAAAAAAAGTCACCCCCAAAGTTTCAGATGCTTCCACACACAAAAGGCAAGACAAGTTTATTTGTAAGTACATTTCAACAATTCAAAGGGCTTTACATAAAACATAAAAGCAACAAAGGGAAACTGAAAAAAAAAACACATTAAAATATAATTTTTTTAAAGGGTAAAATAGAAAATAAAAACAGCGTACGAACACATAACTATTACTCATTTCAATACAACATGTAGCACAAAAGAAATATGTCCTCATGTTTGTTCATTTATTTTTTCTTCTCCAGATGCTCCAAAGCTTCCCTCTGTGTCAGTGAGTCCCTCTGGAGAGATAGTTGAGGGCAGTTCAGTGACTCTGACCTGCAGCAGTGATGCTAATCCAGCAGCTAAATACACCTGGTACAAGAGGAATGGAAATCCAAACCTTCATCCTCTCAGTAAAGAACAAAAGCTTGTCTTCAGGTCCATTCAGTCCTCTGACTCTGGAGAGTATTACTGTGTCGCTGAGAATGATCTGGGGAAGACATCTGGATTTGTCTCTATTAAAGTGAAATGTGAGTAAAATGCAGCTAATTTAAAAAACATTATACAATTAATGACAACTTTTTAAAGCTTAATTATCCAGTCAAATGTTTTGCTGATCATGCACTTTCTTCAGTTCCACCTGCTTCACATTCACAGCAGCTACAACAGATGATTAAAGGCGGTTTTATTTCGAGTGAACGCTGAGTCAATGTTGAGTTCAGCTCAATGAATAGAGGGGTAGTACTTTTCTCATTGATACCTTGAATAATTTCCAAAATATTCAAGATTTTCCAGGAAAAATTTGTAGGTGAATGGAGAGAAGGATTAAATCCTCCTCATCCCTACTCAACTCTGTAAGGGTACTAGTTCAGCACACTTTCAGCTACAGACTTGATTTAAACTTTAAATTGGTCACAAGATGCCAGGTCCGGATTGGGACCAAAATTCGGCCCTGGCAATATGGTTTTCACGGGCCCAACGAAGTGATGACGTTAAAAAAAACGTCCCCTGAATCTGGACATTTTCCCCACTGAGACACCATACAAGGCAGCAATGACTCTCACACTGTAGGCGTACACGGCAAGGCGCATAGACTGCAGTCTATACACACACATTCACACGCACACACGAGCATGACACAGCAGCCAGACGCACACGCGAGCATGACACGGCGACCAAAAACACAAGCACACACGAGCGTGGCGTAGCGGCCAGACGCACACAACACACCTGATTAAGAAAGATGAAGCACCATGAGCAATCAGTTATGACCAAACCACAATGAAATACATGATAAAAAGAAGCATGTCCTACCTTATTAAATCAGCAGCCGTTGCATCAGCGCTCTTCTCTGCCACCTTTTTAATGATGCAATCCGTGTCCAAAGAAACCAGAGTCTCCTTTTCGATTGCCAACAACATAAAGTTTTCAAGGTGCTCCTGTGAATTTTAACGTGGAAAAGCTTCGCTCACATGCAACTTGTGTCCCAGACAGAGTTAACAGAAGCTTGTATCACAGTCCGATTAGATGGTAGGAGTCAGTGAGCAGGTTATGCCTTTGTAGGACATAATAACAGCAGAAGGGACACTTTCTGCAAGATTGGCATGTTGTGTTCACAACATCTCATTCTTCATCTGGGGTCTGCTCATCATCTCCATCCTCAGTACTCATCTCTCATCACTTCAGCTTGTCCCAGTGCGTGGCCAGGCTAAGTAGTTCAGCCTGTAAGGCCTCGGGAGTTTCTCTGCTATCGAGCCTGATCAGTTTGGCGCTCAGGGCACTGACTGCACCTGCAGGTACACCGTTACATTTCAAGCCATTGAAGTTCTGGGGATCAAGCAGGGCGAAATCTGTGTACAGTTCTCTGTTTTTAGCAAAATGTCGGGAAATACTTTCAATGATGGAATCCAGAATGACATTGTGCACTTGTACCTCATACTTGCTGTCAGCATCTGATATGGCTGTATCATCACATAACTCGCCTGGCATCCTTTTTGTCTTCTTTGGTCTCCGGTTTGGCAGCGTGTGTTCCACCTCTGTGTCTGTCTCACACACATTTAATTCTCTATTGGCCCATTGCACAAATGCATCTGTTGCTGCCTTTACCCTCTTAAAATCCCTTGCATAGTTTTTCATATTGTCATGTTTGCTTGTGACAAAGTGATGGGCCATGAGCAAATCCTTTCCACTTGTTTTTAAATACTTGGAAAGTGGAGTTGTTTGTTGGAAGATGCGTAAAAACGCCTGGACAGTGAGGATGGTTTGGTATTTCAGCAGAGCCTCTGCATAAGCATCGGAATTTGCACGCATCGCAGGGTCTTGAGTGTAACAACAAGATTAATGTAAAGACATCCCTCTGGATCCCCAAACTTCCCAAACACTGTTGTAAGCGCAGCGTCTTTGGCCCACCATGGGGTTTCGCCAATTGGTGACAGCCGCCTGTGCCGCACATCTTTGCTTACATCCTCCCATGCATTCATCCTTTTGATATGAATCTCTCAGCGATGTCGTGTAACAAAGAAAAAAGTGATGCGCTCGATAGATTTTTCTTTTTAGAATTTATTTTATGGCGGGTTGAAAATACAGTCTGAAACAATTTGTATCCCACTACAACTTTTGCCAGGAAAATAGAAACTTCTCCATAATCACCCCTGTTATTAGTCATGATGTGAATATACACAAAATTAAATACTTGATGGTAGGCCGTCATCTGTGTGTTATGGACGGGGATACATATTTTGGCAGTCTGCATGTCCAGCCTGGTAGGACTGAAAATAATCAGAATCAGAAAGAGCTTTATTACCAAGTAGTATTTTACATGTACGAGGAATTTGCTTTAGTGATAAGGTGCTACTCGTACACAAACATAACATAAATAAATGTAGACATATATAAATATTTTTTGGGTTGTAGGAAGGGCTAACTTTTTTAATTACAGTACAAATATCAGCCATCTGCAGAAAATGAAAACAATTTAATGTTGTTTTCTGAAATAGTTATTTTGACAATAAAATTATACATGTCATAACATAAAGGAATATAAAGTACATAGATTTCTTAGCTTGTGCTAACCAGGAATATAATATCAATAAGTATATAGACCCAACTCTGCTAATAGAAAGTTAATCAGGGACATTCTTCTGAAAAAAAAAAAGTCACCTCCAAAGTTTCAGATGCTTCCACACACATAAGGCAAGGCCAGTTTATTTGTAAGCACATTTCAACAACAAGGCAATTCAAAGGGCTTTACATAAAACATAAAAGCAACAAAGGGAAACTGAAAAAAAACACATAGGGGTAAAATAGAAAATAAAAACAGCGTACAAACACATAACTATTACTCATTTCAATACAACATGTAGCACCAAAGAAATCTATCCTCACTTTTGTTAATTTATTTATTTTTTCCCAGATGCTCCAAAGCTTCCCTCTGTGTCAGTGAGTCCCTCTGCTGAGATAGTGGAGGGCAGTTCAGTGACTCTGACCTGCAGCAGTGATGCTAACCCAGCAGCTAATTATACCTGGTACAAGGAGAAAGGCAATCTAAACCACCTTCATCATCCCAGGAAAGAACCACAGTTTTTCTTTGGCTCCATTCAGTCCTCTGACTCTGGAGAGTATTACTGTGTCGCTGAGAATAAGCTGAAGAGGAAGACATCTAAATCAGTCTTCATTGATGTGAAATGTGAGTAAAACACAACTAATGACAACTTTTTAAAGCTTAATTATCCAGTCAAATATTTGGGATTCCAAAATCTGCATGGAAGTTCAGGGGATTCAAACCTTCAGTAATCCAGAAAACCACCTCCTAAAGTTTCAGATGCTCCCACACATGTTGGCTAGTAACTTTGGAAAACCACTAGCTACAGTGGCTGGTGAGGGAGTAAGTTAATGTGTAGTATTTTGTTTTGCTTAATACAATAAGCTAGAAACAAAATTGCTGCCTGGATTTTGTTAGGTGGCAACATTTTTTGGGTTGTAGGAAGGGCCAACTTTTTTAACCCCCACACAGTTAAATTACAGTACAAATATCAGCCATCTGCAGAAAATGAAAACAATTTAATGTTTTCTGAAATAGCAATTTTGACAATAAATTATACATGTCAAAACATCAAGGAAATATAAAGTACATAGATTTCTTAGCTTGTGCTAACCAGGAATATAATATCAATAAGTATATAGACCCAACTCTGCTAATAGAAAGTTAATCAGGGACACAATTCCAGTTTACAGCACATTTCAACATTTTTGTGTTTACTCATACAAAATGTATGAAGGACATTCTTCTGGCCTCCTCTTAGCTGTGTTCACATACAACGCAAATTTACTCTTCGCAATGATTTCCTCGCGCAGCTTTTTAGCGCTGGACAACTACACTCTAAAAACTATTACTGGGATAAACTTAATTTTATTGGTGAAAAATTTTTACACTTAAAAAACATTTAGTAAATCTAAAAGCTGTGAAATCAAGTAAATATAACTTAT